TCTCCAGGAATAAAATATTTTTAATCCCACAGTGACTATTACACCATGCAGTTAACTGCACCCACAAGCAGGAAAAAAGAATGAATACAAAGGACAAGATAATAAGGACTACTACTCTAATACTTACCACTAGCTTCTCTAGTACCAAGTACTTGACAAAGATATGAATGCAGGGCACAGCACATGTTCCCAGAGGACCTGAAAACAGGTCCATCTTGAGGCAGCCAGAAAAGCTTTATCATCTTCATAGCGCTATATCTAGAACAGCTAGATGTATTAATTGCACTCTTCTCCAGCAGAAATAATCTGTACTCTGAATTACTTTGGGTTTGCCTGTAATCTTCTAGCTTCAAAGTTATGAAGAATGTACGACTCAGTATTGACTCAGTAATATTTGCTAGTTTTTAATATTAAAAAGCAGTAGAAGTTATTTTAAATGAGAATAAACAGGAAACTCCAGACTGTCACAGAATGCTTGGTTTCTTTATGAAGCTTTACCTGCAAATTATGAGCTTTTGTAGATGGAGTTTAGAGACACACTTTGCAAGACTGGTTGTGTAGGGAGCTGTGAAAGAAGCCTCTGTCCAGCTAGAGAGGAGGGTGACACCATGACATGAAAAGATGTGACCTTTGACAGCAATCACTGAGGGAAGACTCAGGCAACTTCCAAAGCAAATGAGCTAGCTCTGCTCACCTGGGGCATACACACCGTCTGGTTTGTAGAAGGCAAAGACAGCAGTAACTGTAGTATTTTAAAATTACTAGATATGAACCTACCTTTTCTTATTTATGAGACAATTTTCTCACTAAAGAAACAGAAAATAGTTTAAATTGAAGGGGCTAAGTTCACTCTATCTTTTTTGCTTTAACAGGATTCCATTTTCAATGCCCCTATCATCAGTGCTCAGCTTAGGGAAACCCTTTTGCAAATAAGAACAATGAAATATTTCAGAGCAAAACAGTAAAACACGTCACTGTGACGTAACACTGCCTTCCACAGGCAGGGTTGGGACCTCAGCTACCTAGTAAGCAAACTAGTGCAACAGCAAGTAAACAGAGCAGTAGGTGTCTTCAACCATTCCACCTCTGGCTGCTGAGCACTGAATTCCACACGGTCTTAAACTCAGAGCGTTCAGAAATGTGAGTGCTTGTGCAAAGGGAAACAGTGAAACCATCTAATGCTAAATCGTGAAGGGCTTTCTTCAATTAAAAAAAGTATTCTTTAACTATTAAGTATCCCAGCAATACCATTCACAATTCTTTTTCTTTGCACCTATGGGGGGGATCAGTATAACTACATTTTCAAGTCAGTATAAAATAAGAGACACCTTAGAATAAGTGGCAGTGGAGATAAACATTCCTAAAGCTGAAATTGGTAACCTGTCTCGGTAGCTCCTGTTAAAGAGACACATCATTTACCCTAATTCTAGCAACTCTGATACAAGCAACAAAAGTCTGTGGTTTTAACTCACCACATTCCAGTTCCCACATGGTACTAATTATTACTAATATTAATTTCTACAGGAAAATAACATGGCAATTCCATAACTGGGGACAACTCATGAAGGTCTTTTTCTAGGAAAATCTGAAGTTTGAAGACGAATTTGGACTTCAGGGAAATCCTACTGAGCAGTGTCCTTCCAAAAATAGATTCATCATACAAGCATATCCTAAATACATGTAACGAGAAGCTAGCCTGTATAAAATACTCAGTTGACTCCTCTTACGTGTGGTGCTCTTACCTACAGGTTGCTGCCACCGAGGCCATCAGCTCAAATTCAGTATGGTAAAAAGATGACTGGGAAGGTCAAATCATGGCTCGCTGAGCAACAGAAAGAAAACACACAAAACTGCTGTATGACCAATGCTGGTCTTGGGCTGAGGTTTAAGACCACAACTTCACCTTCAGCTGTTGTGTCCCAAGTTACTGCTGTGCACAGTAGATAAAGTCCACTGAAGACGGAGCTATAGGGTCACTGGCAGGCTTTTACTACACTTGTCAATTGCTTCCTCTTCCATGATGTTTGTGTTCCACAGCCATTTCCATCCCGTTGATACAGAAACCCTCCATCTACAGGATCCATGCTAAAGACAGCACACTGACAAGCCCATAAATGGAATGATACAGGACAAAAATTTTTATGCAAATTTATTCATTAGCTTTAACAATAGCAATACATAAATCAATACTATGTCCAGCATAAGGTTGTATAATAAAATACGCTACTCTGGTAGATTGATTTTAGTGCGTACATTTTAAGGGCAGTTTTCATCCAAATTGGATACATTTAAAAAAATATAAATAAATACAAGGCCAAAAATGCTTACTTAATTAAAGTCCTGCTAAGTAAGACTTCAGGCTCCATGTTGCTTCAAAGCACTGATCACCGAGTACAGGTGCCTGCGTACATCTTAGATTTATACACAGATGGGTTGTGCTCAAGCAGCATAGATTTTTTTGGCATCTGACTCAGACCAACACACACAAGATTTCAAATTTAGACTGCCTTAAAGCTAGCATCCACCTTTCTTCCTTCTCTTTTAGGATTGTCTTGCCTTCCAGCTCTGTATCTGCACATAGGAATCCTAGCAACTTTATGTGCACCAAATACAAAGGTCCAGTCCCCTCCCAGTACTATTTTTTTTTTGGCTTGAGATCCAGACTGCACTATCTAGTGGAACTATTTATGAAATAAATGGCTACTCAACTCAAATATGACTACATTACTCTTGGAAAAACCTAAGACTCTGGGAACAGATGGGAACATGATATGCTCCCAGCTCCATTTGTTGCGTTTTTTGGAGCTCTCTAGCCTTGAGGAGCACATCCTCTCTGGGATGCCTAGTGCTCAGTGCTACAGCATTTAGCTTTTAGGCACACTGGGTTCTGTAGGCTACTGGCAGCCCAGAAGAAGCTGCTTTTTTCAGCTCTCTTTCTCTGATGGCCAGTGAGCCCAATATGCACAGTGGCAGTATAGAGCACTCACTGACATTTAGGTTACCTTCATTTATATTCAATAACACTGAAATCTGGTCCCAGTTAGTATCCCAATTAGATACACATGAGAAAACCTATTTTGCAAATCAGAGGTATTTTATTTACTAGTGTACTTATCACACACTGTATGGACTATCCTTTGGGCATAGTTACTCTACAAAAAAAAAAAACAACTAGAAAAGCTTGTTTTATTTGTCTTCTGACTTTTAAATTCTGCTAATGTCAAAATTCCCTTTTCCTTAGGAAGTTACACTCGGGATCGAGTTACAAATTTTAAAACTACTCCCATTTACATGTTTTATTTTATCAAAACAAAACCCAAAAGCTTGGTCTGAAGTACAAACACTTATAAACCTAGTGAAAACATCCCTGAGAAGCTTTCAGTAACATAAAAGCAATGATCTGTTTTGGTCCATTAGCGGAGAAAAACTGTTACATCCAGTTATTGAATACTGAGGGCTACAAGTACATTGGTTGTACTTTGGATTCCCATTCATTTACTTTCACTCCTCTTACAAAATATTGTATCTGAGACAAAAGCCACTAGAGGTTTTTTACATTCTATTCAGTTTGACATCTAATCATTATAAGTTTTAAGGTGAATGGCCTGATTCAGCCCTGGTGTAATGCCTTTAATGTCAATGGAGTTCACACACATTCCAGGGTTGAAGTCTGGCAACATCATGACTGTACCTAACATAAAATTTTTTTTAAAAAAAAAACAAAACTTAAAAGTTATAGGATACTTTTCACAAGTTTCTGATGTATGTTTTTGCATACTCCTTATTTTGCAGACGAGTATTTTACAAAGATTTGAGTTTAGAAGTCATGCTGTCATGCCACAGGAAAACTCAGAACACCACCAGATTCAACTCTACTGAGAAAGCAAAGTGCGTGGAGTAGTTTCCACAAAAGTGCATATACAGTTAATGACTATGGGAGCACTGTTAGCACACATGCAGGGTAAAAAACAACAACAACAAATGCAAGAACTTCTTGAAAACAAGAGGGATGTATTATTCTTCACTGCTCTGAAGTTGCTTTAGAGGGCCACACACTCCAACACCTCATTGGTTTAGCAGTATTTGAGAACAAAACTAAGTTAAAATTCACATACACGTAAAACAGATCCATCCAAGCAATCCACTTTTTGACTTCTTTTGCCTGGAATATCAATAGTTTTCCAATAAATCAGGCTTTAATAGGGATTCTGAAAACAACAGCATTCAAATATAAACTAAAGCTGCTTGTACTCTGAGGCAGAAACTTAAGTTAGCCCTATTTTATCTTACTGTACCAGTACTCCTGACCTTAGCACTTTCTGCTACATCAAACCTGAGCAGACCTGTAATTTGCAATTAAAAAAGCCATACTTTATAATGTTACATCAATAGCTTCTGCTAAAATGAGGCTATGCTTTACTTTACCAAGTGCAACAAAAGTGTAATACAATATCTTGTACCTACCACTCATCTAAATTGTAAGGAAACATGCAATAAAGTTAGAAAGGTGTTTCTGTAAAGTCAAACCAACCAAAACAGACAGAATACTAAAAAGGTATTTTGGGATAACATCAGAAATTCAAGAGGCTGCTTCAGGAATCCAGGAAGGACATTGATATCAATTTGAGAAGACAAGGGAGCAGAACTGTTCATGGTAGGAGGAGAAAAAAAAAAAAAAGGCAAAAAAAAACCCCACAAAACCAAATACTGTATATATCAAGTTATTCTGAAACAACTAAAAAAACCCTCATTTTGCTCAATGAGGACAAGAATTGCTCAATGAGCTCAAAAATTGGTCCGAATTCATGAACAAACATTATCACTGTGGGGGTCAGCGACAGAAATTCAGCATCATTTTTGTGGTCAAATACTAGATGTACAACTTGTGGGAATCCTTTGAAACAGCAGCTGTCAATACCCAACCAGGCTGTCCTCTGCCAAACACAAAACATTTCTAGAGTCACTGTAAGACAAATTTTAGCTCCCTTGGGACAGCTTCCTCAAACAGCTAAGTTATCTTTTCAACTCTAGAGAAACACCTTAGGGTCAGAAAAAGCAGTAAATGTGTTTAACCATAATATTTGTGTAGCAAGTTAGTAAGAAGTGGATCCTTTCAGACAGTAGATGTATTACCAGGTGGTGAACTGTCAGAGACTGCTTTGGGATCAGGAGTGCAACAAACAAAAAGTTGTTTTCCCAAGCTTTTTTGGGCAAATCTGAAGTACATTATGTGGCCCATTGCAACAAAAGAGACAGAAATAAGCACCAATAAGCCAAAGGCTTCAGGGTTTGGGGCCAAGATGACCATGATGAAGTGCAGCAAATCAAGAAGATAATTCATGGAGTTTTGGACACCGTTTATGATGCCTCTTTCAGATTCTGCCACATTTTCTTGGAGCAACTGTGTGACAGTCAAATCAAAGGACCAAAGGCCTATGGAGAGAAAAAACAGTTATCTACACAACTGGGCTTCTCATGGCAAGTTTTCATTACTGGCACAATTCACAGTTCTAAACAGTCACTTCTGCCAAAAGTGCATGGGACAAACTAGCTCCTTGTCACACTAGAATGGATTTCACACTGACAGTCAAAGGCTATTTACTTTCCCTGTCCTAGTAGTTCCTGAAATAATACATAAAGCTTGACACATTAATTTGCCTGTCACATCTTGCTTCAACATGACTATCAAGTTAGCAGTGTTTTGCTCATCTGTTCTTTATTTAAATAGCTGTTTTACAGCTATTTACAGTGTACTCATGCTCGCTACAATTGCTGAGTTTTGCATGTTTGCAAATAAATCAGCATGATCTGAAGTACGCAGAATACCTGATTTACAACACTCTTGGCTGACACTAGCTTCCATAACATTTCAGTCCATTAATGATTCAGCTTTAAAATTTTATGTTGAAAACAAACTTTTAATACATGTGAACCAAGCACTTTTACTGTTCACTACATTTAGATATTGGACTGACTGTTCTGTTGATAGACACTAGTACACACTAACAAGCAATTCCTCAAAAGATTAAACTGTCATCCAAGTTAAAGCTTCTGTTCTAAACTCCATTGTGAGTCAAAAGTTTAAAGCTTAGACAATTTATTTAATGAATGGAATAATTTATTAATTGCTAAGTTTGAAGTTTCATAGTAGATATGTTTTGTTCTGTTTCATACTAACAAATGGTTTTATTTGGGTATGAAGGAAGATCATTCAGAGATGAGCATTCCAAAGAACCAAGACACATTCATGTCCAAATGTGGTTAACTTCTCTCCTATTAGTGATGTAGGATACGCAGGAAATTGGCACTGCAGTCTCTGCATTGCAAAATCTATTGCAAAATCATTTTGGTTTTATGTAATGAATTAGCCTTAGAAGCATGATGTAACATTTCAATTGCAGCCCAAAATTCTAAATTCAAATTTGTATTTAGCTGACAGGCACTGTAATTTTTAGAACTAAAAGCATTCAACAGAATGGATTTACACAGAGACAATACTTACCAACTCTAGCAGCAATGACTCCTGCAAACAGGAGACTAACAGAGATTAAAGGCACAGGCTCAGGATTCATCTCTGGGTCGCTGTTAGCAGGAGTAGTAGACCCGTTTAACAAGTTGGGCATTCCAGTTGCAAAAACCGTTTCAGACTTAAATTCTGGAGATGCTATAGTAGGTAACGGTTCACTTTCAAACAGCCTGGCACTGATGTCAGCAAATGGGGAGACAGTCAGATCCAGAGGACTTCCAGGCATGAACACAGAGATGGCACATAGGACCAGACAGGCCAGTTGAGCAATTCCAGAGATGAGGCCCGTGCGAACCAGGCCGCACTTGCGACGCAGCCAAGTGAAAGCCACTGTTCCCAGGATGCCCGTGACTGCCGAGGCACCCATCAGGAGGCACAGGCCCTGGGTGTAGGCGTAGCCCGTGGTGATGCAGTCGAAGCCCAGGACGGTCATGTAGAGGAAGGCCAGGCCCATGCCCGCCAGGAAGACAGGCTGGTTGTAGTAGGCCACCCACCCGTCGCGGAAGGTGAGGAAGGGCTCGGCGACGCGGGCGGC